GCGTATAGATTCAAGGCAGTGCATAGAGCCACTGACGAAGAGGTAATTATGACCTGAGAGAGTTGAAACCGTTGGGGCTCAATCTATCAAGCTCTGTAGTGCAAACTTGTCTAGTGAGCATCTCTTGACGGATCAAAAGCTTGTAAATCCCGACATTTGCTTGGGGTGTGAGTGAAGGGGAGGGTGGGTGTTCTTTTATATGGTCTTGGACAAATGAGTGTGTCGTCAAATGTCAAGTGTCATTTGTGAGATTGGTTTAAGCTGCCCTGTTCTACACAGAGTGTTTTCTTCAGCAATGGCATTAGCGTCGATTTCTTTGGTTCAAAAAGGATAGAAAGAGGAAGTGCTTCCTGTCCAAGTCTAGGCTGTGCCAGATCTGCACCCAGCTTCATGGCTATGCTAGAGTTTTCTGAGACAAGTCGTGGGTATGCGTGGAGGAATACATTGGGAAAGGCGACGAATCTACCACGGGAATAACCAGAAGAGGTATAAGTTGATTTCGAGGCGCGCTTCGAAACACAAAATGCACAGGCGAAATGGGTTATGTTCAACTCAAGATCACCGGGATATCTCATACAAGTGCTCCAAGTAAACCTAATGATACACGATCGAAAAGGCAGGTGATTCCCAAACCTGTGAAATGGGACATGGCTACTTGGAAGCAGCACATTAGCTCTGATGTAGGAACTGCAGGGCATCAGTACACCCGGATAATGCTGAGGTCATTGGAGACGACGATGCGGGCGAGAGACACGATTCATCTGCGAAGACAGCTTGCTGTATTGAGCTTCTTACCTGACTGAGCCTGAGGGACGCCGACGAGTGATTTCAGTAAGGCAATGTGCAGTAGCAGTGCCACCACCATTCTTACGGTCGAGTGAATACAACTGCAGCAATCAGCAGTGTTATACACATGAGCTTCGCAAAGTATACGCCTCAGGCTCAAGGTCTCGCTGTATCTGCATATTAGTCTAATTATCCCAGAGGGTCTCGTTTTCTTGAGCCAGGATCGCCGCTAATTTTGCTGCCGCCTGAAGATTCCAGAGTATCGATGATACCTTAGCAACAGAAAAACCGACGAGCTTAAGCTGAAAGAAGGCTCTAATTCCTCTTCCCCGTTAATAATCAACATGCCATGTCGTCCACCCCTACAGTCCGTTGTTTATTCCAAGATTTTGCCCCCGAGCTGATATTCCCATCGCGCTTTCTGAACCCTGGTCTTTAAGATCCACATGCCTTCCATGTACTGGCGCGTAATGACGACTCAAGGAGGCAAGATCGGTGTAGGCTTGGTAACTTGTTGAGTTCAGAAATGAACATCACAAGTGTTTGATATACCTTTGAGCGTTGAGCAGTTGACGATAGCTTAGCTCACCGAGATGACAAGATACGGCCACATGTTCCGCACATACATACAAGCGCAGAGCCGTGGGCTAGTTTGCTCTGCGACCATACATCCGCCCCGATGTGTCCTGGAAGGATGTTCACGTCTGGCAGAGTTTTGATGCTAATCCCCAGCTCATTGATGTTGGCGCTTCGTCCGTGGATGTGAGAATACTGGAATGCGATCTGGAAAACGAGGGATTATAGAGGGTAGAAAGAGGTAATTTAACCACGGTGAGAGATATTGAGACCTTCCCGGTGTTTGGCATGAGTTCTTTGATGACCCATCAGGCATTAAGTAAACCTTGAAGCGATGTCTACACTTTTGCAGAACCTAGCGTCAACGCGAAGTGTCGGGCTTCATGTAAGCGTCAATATTATCGCATCTACTCGGGGAGTGTCTCTTTGGGAACGTTAAATAGACGCAGATGCTATGACTTTTACGTCTTCTAGACCGAACCGGCAAATTGTACTCTTCACCGCGAATGATCATTGCGATGCCTTTTGAAGAGAGTGTGACCAGCAAAAGCGAGGCGATGGGGAATGGAATCTCTGGCATGGATAATGCAATACATTCCAGCATGTTTATGGATGCAAACATCCGAATACGTATGAAGAGGTGGTGGACGCCAGCGAGTACGCAATATATACCCTTGTTCTGGACCCGGTTTGCAAGAGACGCGCATGAAAGACTTTAGGCCCCATACTCTGCTATGACAGGCTTTTAAAGTCACTGTACAGCGCTTTGGATGAGTCTTTTATTCGTGACGAGTAAAAGCCTATGAAGCGCACGTCATCTGAATACATGCACGTGTATATGATGTTCCAATGGCAGGCATGGTCTAGCAGACTTCCGTCAGGGTTTCCCGGAGGTAGCCTAGACTAAGAACATTGTCTTTCAGATATTCTGATGTAGTGCATATATACTATAAATTAACATCACTTGGGCTATGAAGAGACCAGGGGAAATCATAGGCTTTGGCATACTCCAGCTAAGTATGAACACGCTGTGCCAGTGGCGCACTCGCATCGTTCTACGATCAGACCCGTGTTTTCGGCAGAAAGAAACCTGCAGAAGATGGTCGATTTGGCTCATATGATACACTTATGAATAATTCACAGAGCTTGGGGAACTATGAAGGATGGCGAGGTTGGTGGTGAGACGGTCATCGAGTATGGAAACGCAGACCGCTCGGATTCTTGTGTTGTAAGCTCAAGTTTCTCTTTTCCTACTTAATAAGAAGAATATCTGCACCAAACTCTGGGGAGCGGTACTCAAGCCGGCGAGACGAGTTTCAGTAAGTAGTCTTTTGCTCTTACGTGGACGGTCTACACTTCTCACACGGAAAGAGTCGACGTCTCGAGTAGCTCAGCTCGGAAATCAGACCATGAAAACAGCCACACGATATGGCTTTAGAGTCCTTTGTTTGTAAGATGGCGAGCCCACTGAAACATCTTCGTGGCGTTGATGGTGGTGGCCACTGTCTATCCACTACAGCGATTATGTAACTGGCATCGAGGACCTCGGGAACTTTGTGTTGCGGCTCGATACAGCTCCAAGCGGTTTAGTTGCCGTCAGGCTGATATCGCAACAACAGAAATGACTCTTCTGGTGCCAACAGATATGTAAATACCGTAGGTACCAATACGCAGGACCCAAAGCTCATTCCATTACGAGTGTCTGCGGCGATGGACCAACGACCAACGCTACTAGATAGTTCCTCAAATATTCCCAGGCAACGTTGAATCTGCAGAGCTGCAGCGGTATTTGAACCTGATTCTGTGTATGCGGCTGCTTTTCCTTCACGCATTCACCTGGCTTGACCAGGCAGCTGCTGCCCGGTTGTTGTTGGCCCCATCAAGTGCCAAAGGCAGTCCAGAAGCCGTCACCCGAGCACCAGCTTTGATCAACCAAACAGAGCGAGCTCCGAGCAACAAACGCCAACGACCACTAGGAAGGTAAGTTCCACGTAACGGTTTGTCGTCTCACCTGCCTTTGCCTCCCTCGCCCTTTCTCAACCAGGGTCCTCTTCCTCCCATATCATATCCACGTCTGGCTGATACCAAGAACTTCCTCGGAACACACTCCTCGCCCTGCTTATCTGTCGATTTCATCCTCATAGGTTCGTTCACCATACTGTCCTTGCATGAATATTCAACTAACAACCGGCGCAGGATCCTCCCATCATGCCTGAGCGCCCGAGCGAATTCCGCCAGCGCGGCGAGACCACCGCCGAATGGCTGGACAGATTGCAACGTGTCAGCCCTGATGCTGGCGATGGTGTTGACGGCTTCTCCAAGATGATGGCGGACATTGAGCGAGAGTCGGAAGAAGCTGCTGGCTTTCGCTGGCATTTGCAAGAAACTCAGCAGCGACAAGACGCCATCCTGAAGCATTTTCAGGACTTTGTCAAAAAACTCGAGAAGCTTCCAGACGACGTCACCGACGACCAGCTTGAAGAGGCATGCTTCCCCCCTCCCAAGGCGGGTGGCTCGGGTCGCTCCAAATGGAACCCCCTCTCGCGCAACCTGAAGCTATTCATGGGATTCGCCGTGCGCTTTGGTGTGCCCCCCGGTATCCACGACGCTGCTGTCTCCGACAGCTGCCTCACCCAGTACCGCGAGGTCCTCATGTTCTGGGTTTCGAGGAGCTACCGTCTGCGCGATATGGATGGGCCTCGGTCCCATGAAGTCTCCGATGAAGTGACGGAAGTCGTGCGATATCTGGAAGCCAAGCATGGCATCATCCGCCGCTCTCAAAACGTTGCCGAGAAATCGTACGTCGACGTCGAGGAGCTGCGTCACATGGTCGATGAGGAAATGGAGGCTGTGGATGGGAAGAACATCATTGGACGTTAAGACTCGGGGGAACTTGCCGAGAAGCGTCAAAAACATATAGGTTCAAGATGATCTCACAGTCATGGGCACTCAAGGAGAATACGCTGCAATGGAATTGGCGGGATCCCTTCTGTCTTTTGAAACCGATATGGTCAAGTAGTCGTAGTATCCCAAACATACTTCGGCTCTTGAGATAGAGAATCTTGAAGTGCTGGTGCTCTCCGATATTCACTACTAAACCGTTGTCAAAAGGCCCAGGGGACCCATAACCCAAGGCGTCGAACCTGAATAATCAAGGCCACTGAAAGCATGCTCCTCTATCAGGTCTCACTGACTTGGTTCGTGGCTCCTACAGACTGCCACATTTAAACAGCTTTTCCTGTCGGGGCTTGCGCGTCTCGACGGAGCATAACACAACATTCATGCGTGAAGCAGATGCCGCTCCCCGGTGTCTAGCTTCAAAGAGAGGAACAAGTAGGGAAGGGTGACCAACCTTTCAAACTCAGTAGCCACTTCCCCAGGTACCTCAAGTCACGTAAGACATTTAAGCAGGAAGCAAGACGATCTGCGTCCTAGACACGTTGTGCCCCTTTTATATCAGTATGTCACACGCCTATCTAACATAGAAACTTTAGAGTCGTTCTCACATGCCGCTGTAGCTCCATTGCTCTGCCAGTCTACACGAATACTATCAAAACTATACCCTGAAGCTCTGAAAAGCTCCCAGGAACCCTCAAAAACAATATCGGCCCCTAAAACAGAACCAAACAGCAAAAGACTGGACGAACAGGGAATCGAACCCTGGACCACTCACAGATTGGACGATGGAGTCATCCGGTGCTAAGCGAGTATTATACCACTAAACCATTCGCCCAAGATGATTTCGCCCGGACTTGAACCGGAGACCTTCAGTGTGTTAGACTGACGTGATAACCAACTACACCACGAAACCATTTGAATTGATGAAAGAGACAGCGAAATGTGCGTATGTTAGGGTCGGCGACGAGGCCGGAAGTTGTCATCGAGCGAGGATTGGGTGGTGGGCGCGACGTGGTGGGGTGCATTCCGGCGCGGTGGGTCGGCGAGATGAGAGACCAATCAATCTCGGACTCACATCACGTTAAGAGAAGGTCGGTTGCCATTCAACTCTAAAACCAAGGTTGTGTCTCCCTCGGTTGCGCTGTGTCGGGCAGTGATGTTCTCTCGCTGCCTGTGGCCGTTATCTCGTCCGGTGATGCCAGCGTGGGGGCGCTCAACGGTATCGAGCAGTCTCCCAAACGAATGGCAGGTTGGCAGGGGCGCGGACAAGGGTGAGACGGCTGGTCGTTGTCAGAGCCTACGGCATCTTGTCCCAATACTGTGATTGTGTCAGCCTCGTATCTACGCCGCCTTTGAGCTCACACGGTGGCCGGAGCGGAGTCGAGTTCGGTATGTGGCAGTCGATGTGCGGATGATCCCATCACCTGCCTGAAGATCTTGGCTCTATCCGTACTCAGCCAGCCATGGAGTTGAACATGCCATGTGACCTGTGGATCTAAAGTACGAGATCGGCACAGCCCCAGCCTTGAGCCGCATCCGCTCGTAGACGTCCGGTTCGGTCGGGTACTCCTGGAACGGCGGTGGCAGCGGAGACACACTGGCTCGTCATTACGAAGCACGTGGCGTACGTGGTGGTACACGACAAGCGGCAGCCTGCCTCCCCGGAATGATTATCCAATAGTCAGGCAATGACAAGCGACTTGGAGGATGAGTCCGGAACCATGGTGATACGCAGAAACCCGTGCCTCATGGGAAGGCGTCTTTCAACCCAGTCCTGGATTGCAAGGCGCGGCGCGATGGGATCACTCAACGAGACCGCGCGGCCGACCCGGCAGTTTCTTGAGTGGCGGTAGCAGGCTCAATCGCTTTCGGGTATCAACTTGACCGCGCGCTTCGGGAACTCTGGTCCCTGATGATTCCGGGCGACTCGGGCCCGACCTTCGCGCGAAAGGAACATCGAGCTCAGACTTTGGAGTGCTCAATATAGCAGCACGGGCCAGTGCGTTCTCTCCAAGGCAGACCAGTTTGTTGGCAGTCCTCAGGTACGCAGGCAAGGCGAAGGCCTGTGATGCGTGCACAGAGCCTGGGAATAAGTCTGCACAGTTTAGCGCAAGGTCGATGTTGACCACTGGGGATTGCGAGATGAACTAGAGACTAGCTCGTGCGATTGCAGATCCTCCGCATGGAAGCACTGGGAAACCCATGGCAATGCGGCGCAGGCTACACCAGGTTTGGCTCAAAGGACAACGTCGACGGCATAAACATCGAAAGACTCGATATTGGGTGGCACTTGCGGCAATTGCGTTGGCAAAATTTGACCGCGGCAGAATGGTAGAACGGGAGTTTCGACCAAGGACGACAATGACAGCTGTCCGTAGAAGAATGGACGGTTGAAAATTGCATCGACAGATGTTTGCTACAATGAAGCAGAAGTCATCAATAGTCGAAATGAGGTGACCCGGATTTTGGGACCGAGTATTGGGGGCCGAGCATTTAGGGGATCGACGACGAATTGGCGCATTGACTTGGTCAGGGTGGTTAGAGGATTTAGACTTCCTGCCTGAAACTCTGTGGTGCTAATGGTTCAGTCCGTCTCATCTCCGCCACGTGGAAAGGTGAGATGGCGGAGAATTGGCCTGGGCGCCCGTCTCGCAGTAGACATCTCGGCTCTTTGGCGAGTATGGTGTCAGTTTCCACATGGCTGTTCGAGAATAAACGACATCAGCCATGTCGATGGAGATCATGTCGAACGAACCAGGGGCGAACCGCTGTCGAAAATCTCTGCCGCTGCAACGACCGAGGCATCAGAGACGGACCAGGGCTCCAGGTGGAGGAACGTTGACAGGCCGTCGCTGGCACTTGAATGGCCCGGGGTCTAGACGCCGTTTGCCAAGTCTGCAACCCGGCAGACCGGTTCCTCGGTTCAAGCAGAAGTTGTTCCTTCGAGGGTAAAGCCCGCAGGCCGGACATGGAGAGCGGGTCAAGGAACAGCAATCTCAGAATCGAGATGTCTTGTTTGGTTGGCAACGGGGTCGATATGCGGGTGATGAGGAGTAAACGAAACCACCTCATCTCAGTAATCCAAAAGCATGGAGAACAATGTCATCCAGCAGCACAGACAGGAGCTCATACCGAGTTGGGGGCCAGAATCCGGCCTGGGTTCCTGGACAAGCCATGGACTTGCAACGTCATGGTGATGGTGATAGGAGGGTTGAAGTTAGGATCTTGCCTAGAAAGGACGCCCAGGCCGAGGAATGGAGTGTCGCAGTCGTCATGCCCTCGGTATCGGGCCGTAGTGATGTGACAGAAAGTTGAAGGGAGTGGACTTTGCGAGAAGCGAGAAGACTGCAGTCGCATCTGCGGCTAGCATTCTGGGGACCCCGGAATCCCACCAGTCGGTTCACAGGTGTAAGGCGCAAGGGAGCCTGTTGTTAAGATGTTGATATCAGGCTATTTGGGAAGGAGAGAAAATTTTCATGACGAGCGCGGGTTGGAGGCAGAAAATGACGAGTTGCGATTGGCGAATTAACGGGGAGTTCAAAGTCTTGGCTTGTTGGTTTGCTCTGGACTGGCCGATTGCTCACCGGGGATAAGGCGGGAGGCGGCTGACCCTCGTCTATCGGGAAATTTGCGAGTCTTTCCAAGCTGCCTACTTGGTAGAGATTTAAAGTGACAGGCGGACAGTGACGTACGTGTCTTAGTCTTCGGCTCCGAGTGTCCGCGGCAAATTGGTTCGGTTGCGGGTTATTCGTGGATATACGGGTATCCGCGGTGATGATTCTGACAATTGATTGTGTGTAGATGAAGGATCTGTGGTTGATAGGGGTGGGCCTCTTGGCAAGTCATGAAGTGGTTGACAACGTCTGAGGAACTGGGGTCCAGGAAGTGGGAGACGGGTCGCGGTCGATTCTTCGGTGGTTCCTGTTGAAGGTTGTGACCGGATCGGGAAATGTCGATGAAGTTGAAGAGTCGGGTGCCAGTTTAACCCCTCATAGAGCGCGTGCGTATTCGGCAGTGTCCAAGGTGACTTTGGTCGATGAAGTGCATGGAAGCATGCCCCGGGCTGGCATGGACAGGCTGTGTTGGGATACGGTGGTGCATGTGGATCAGAAGCGAGAGAGCATCTCGCAGATTCGCAGGATGGAATAGCTGCAGCACCTTGGTCAGTCCCGTCTGCTGTCGGTGCCTTCCATCCTTACCTAGCTACCTCAGGTAAGGTAGATAGGTACCTCAAGGTTCAGAGCTCGGGGTAGAAAGGAGCGCGAGTTGTTGCATTGTCGGCTGCGAGGAGGTGGTCGAGGAGACGGAGACGGAGACGGAGAAGGAGGAGAAGGAGGAACAGGTAGCAAGGCCTTAGGTAAGGTACGGATGCATGGCCGATTCCCTGTGCATTGGCCCTGCATCTGCATTCAAGGTGCATTGGCTGGAGTGCGGCTGTGCATTTAGTCCCTGGGAAAGGGATGCAGGAAGCAGGAGAAAATGCGAGCTAAAATGTTTGGTAGACGCAGGAAGGAAACTCTGATACGGAGATGCTGGAAGCTGCATTCAGAGGGAGTCAGTCATGCTCTTGCCAGTGGTTGGACTACCCCGAGTGCGTAGGTGATGTGGGCAGCGGACAGGAAGAAGGTGGAGAGGAGTATCGTGGAGTGGAGACTTTCCCTGCCATGTGCCGATAGCTACCTTGCCTTAGGTAAGATTCAAGGGCTAGTGGGAAAGAGCAGCCGGGATGCTGTCTCCTCGGCCGAGTGTCAAGTCAGAGACTGAAGAAGGAGCGAATGTGTCTATGGAAGGTATATGGATCCGTAATGTAATCAATCGCCTGAGGTAGGGAAGGCACGATTTGACGGGAGGCGTTGATTGCAGGAAGGAGGGAGCTCCCCACATGGTCAATGACGCAGGGCAGGCGCGCTCTGCATCGACCTCGAGTATCTTTGCCGGGAAATAGCTTGCAACGGAAGACACGGCTTTGGTCTCTACCTCTTACCTTACGGACGAAGGTGTAGCTTGGGTAGGTTGCACGAGAGGAAAATGGCCGATGGGACGGCATGGAAAAGAACTGGAAGACTGGGGGGCAGCGTGGCCTGCCGCGGCAAGGGCTTTCAATGGCTGGAAGCCACCGGGACGAACCACGAGGTGAGGCAGTCGTTGGGGTCCACTCCACTATCCACTGTCCACCGTCCCATCGCCGCTCCTGCCCTGTCCTGTCTCTGCTGCCCTGTCCATTCTGCCCTGCACCTGCACCTGCACTTGCAGCTGCCACACGCGGAGCCATTAAAAAAAAAAAAAAAGACAGAAAAGACTGAGAAACAGAAACACCAGGAGCGCGCTAAAACACAACTCGTCGGCATCCACTGCGACCTGAACTCCACTTTCTCTCCTGTCAAAAGGCTCGAGAGCGAGCACCCCAACACATGAGAGGTCAACCAACTCACTCGTGAGCCCACCGTCCCCTTGGCCGGAGGCACCTTACCACATGGGACGGTTGAGCACCGCTGGAGCTGGTCCACCGGCCATGCAGGAGCGGTGCTCGTGCGTCGCAGCTCTCTGGGTCTCTGGGTAGACGGCAGCCTGACTCGCTGGAAGAGGAGAAGACGCGCCGTTCGACAACTCCTCTCCTCCTCTCCTCCTCAGGGCATCCGTTGATTCCACCTCAGGCTCATCCAGCGGTGCTTGCGGCTTGCCTTCTCTGGCCATTGACCGTCGCCGCCGAAAGAGACGGGACCGCCCAGGCCGGAGTGCAGACAGCAGAGCACCTCATCCGTTGGACCTGCCCCAAAGACACCAAAACCCCGTCTAAGCGGCATGAGACTCGCCCGGTCAAACGACACTCGCCAG